GGATATGAGAGGAGCCACACGGAACATAAAAATTACCATCGCAGAGCACACACCAATAAATAAAAGACCAAATGAATCTATTTTTAAAATAATGAATACAGTCATGTTAGAAAACAGGATTGTATTAGGAGTTCTTCTCCATTTGGTCAGAATGCTAAACTAAAGGCTTTTCAATAAGTCAATTTTCCTACTGAGAGTATTAGTATGCATTCTTTCCCACTGCTTGACCTACACCAGGCTTGCAGACCAGCCGTTTGGGAAGAGAAATTACGGTGAATCCAGGAGTGAAAAACGAATCCTGAGATAGTTGTTTGGAGGAAAAAGGAAATCCTTACGTTGCTGAGGAAAGATCGAGAGTTGAGCAGCAGTAAAGAAATTCCTTCTGAACATACCCTTCTAGCACATACCCACCTCAGCAGATTTAACAATGAGCCAATTAAGTGAGAAGCATTTTTGTCAAATATTTTTCAAGAAAATATTTTGAAAAAATATTTAAGCCATAAATGACCACTTCCTAAGTACACCACTTTCTAAAAGAGACTATCTGCAAGTTGGGCATTTCTAAAAGTGAAGGGGACAAAGACAGGTAAAACAGAACAATGGTTTTCTTACCTGTTGGCAGTGGCATTTCTGGTTGAAATAATTCTGGATTAAACATTGTATGGTTCAATGGATCCAGGTGAAACATCTGTAAAGAAGAGTATTAACATTGGTAAATCATTGTTTTCCCAATGCTGCCATAAATTTTTTAAATTTGGAACACCAAGACAGAACGACAAGAACCCAAACTAAAGCTATAACAAACATATGAAAATACTCCAAATCAGTATCTTAACAATTCTTTTCTGAGGCCTAGTTAGGGTCTACATGAACAGAACTTTGCGTTGGGTTGGCTATGTTTACGTGGCGAAGGATTCGAGAAGAACCTAGCTATGATAGCCACAGTGGCAAAGACCTGCGTTCTCTCATTCATTGATAATCTGGGACATGCGGATGCTCTCCCCCTTGTGGTGAGGCACCATCAAGTCAGTTCTGACTCATTGCAGGGGGGCTTAAAAATTTTAGCGCCCTAACACTTGATCTTCCTTATGATCCAATTTAAATTTGTTCTAGTTTTCAATATTTTTCTGCTTGCTTTTCAATTGAAATTTTGCATCTGTTTTACTTTGTTACTCTTAGGTTTATAAAAAATGTTTTTTTCTAAATGAAGTCCACAATAGGTAAATCTATAGAGACAGTTAACTGGATTAATGGTTCCTTGGGGCTATGGCAGGGGGTGGGGATCTAATAATGAGGGCAAGAATGAAGAAAATGCTCTAAAACTGAACATGGTCATGGTTGTACAACTTTTCTTGATATGACTGAACTGCTAAATTCTATGTTACATAAATTATTTGCCAATAGAACTGTTGTTGTTTTTTTTAAGCACAATGCTTAGGCCACAATGAAAACATAAATAAAAAGTTCTTTTGCCCTCTTTGGTGGGGTGAGGGGTGGGGTGGGGGTGGGGGTGCGGGCAGGGGAAGCTTATGGAAAATTTCCATGATCTTTTCATTCCATTTTCCTATGAACTTTTTGAAGCCTCCCTCACGCAACAGGATTCAACACGGCCAGGTCCTGTTATCACAAAATGGATACTTGATGAAATCGTTTAAATGTTCACACACTTTTTAAAAATACAATGCTGAGTCCATGCCAAAGCCCCTGAAAAGAAGCATACATACATGAACCTAATCCTGAAAGCTACACATTTGTTTTCATGGTGGTAAGTACACGCCTATACTAGTCAACTAACTTCAAGACCTACAAAAAAACAAGACAGCAGACCCTGGAATAATCTACAGAAAATGTATAGTCCTAAAGGCTGATATGGAGCACTGAGTTTTCGCCTCCCCTCCCCTCCCCACTCTCAATGTCCTAGCACAATACAAACTACCTGAGACTTAGTGGGGCTAAGAGGCTGAATAATGGGCCTGCAGAGATGTCCACAGCTAACCACACAGCCTGTGACTACGGTCTTCTAGAGCAAAAGGGAGGCTGCAGCTGTGACTCAGGTGGGGGCGGGGCGAGATGATCCTGGATTATCCAGGGGTTCTTCTCAGAGGGAAGCAGAGGGGCTGGGTGGGTGGCTGGGTGAGGGCACAACAGCAGCAGCAGGATGCTGAGAGTGAGGAAGGGGGGTCACACACCGAGGAGTCAGGCAGTCTCCTAGCAGCTTTTGAAGAGAGAGGCAGACGCAGAGCCACCATCGGGAAGGCACGAGAGTATCTTCAACTAAGAAACTTTGACGGCCAGATCTGTAGTCTGAGTTGCTTTACGCCACTGAGGGTGGTAGTGTGTCACGGCAGCAAGGAGGAACTAACACAACAGGCATGAACTCTACTGGGCGGAGTTTAATGCTATCTCGAGAACAGCCCAAACCCAACCCACTGCCATTGCGTCCATTCGGACTCATGCTGTTCTTAGGTCCTGTTAACTCATACCAACCTACATACAAGAGTGCTGGTCAGCCTCACAAGTAGTGTGATATTTGAGCCCCCTGTTGCAGCCACTGAATCAACCTGACCCAGAGTGGTCCTACACTGGATTTCCGATACTGTAAACATTTATGGGATCAGTCTCATTCATCTTTTTCCTGAGGAGCAGCTGTTGAGTTTGAACTGCTGACCTTGTGGTTACCAGTCTAACACCTATCCCACAGCTCCATCAGGGTTCCTTATCTTGTTAATTGCTAGATGAAAAACAAAAAAATGCCCCTACCACATAGTCTATTCTGACTCATAATAGCCCTATAATGGGCTTTAGAGACTGTGAATCTTTATGAACGCAGACAGCCTCATCTTTCTTCCCTGGAGTGGTTGGTGAATCTGAACCATAGACCTTGTGGTTAGCAGACCAATGCCTATCTTACAGCACTAATCTCAAGAACACATTCTTCTTTCCCTTTGATTTATTTGGAATTTTACATTAATATTTCTGAACTTGCTATTTGATTCAGTCTCAAGAAGTCATGTGTTTGAAATGTGTGTTGACAGCACAGAAATCAACAGCATGTCACTCCCTCTTTTATAATGTGCTACTAGTACGTACCTGTGCTGGAACTAGTACTAAAACAAAACACAACTGCTTGATGTGACTGAACCATGGGATGTTATGCCATCTGTAAGATCCCCCAATAAAATGATAACCACCCCTCACCACATACACACACAAAACCCACTAGTGCAGTTTACCTCCTGTGTTCATTAATCAGTCGTTGTCAATCTTGGGCAAACTAGGAACCTAGGGTTCATAGTTAACTCAAGAGTCAGGCAAAACAAAACAGACGTTTATTCAATTAAGAACACTTCAAATCCGTCCTGAGAGCTAGACATTTCCCACTGAGGAACAACATGGTTCCACTTCAGTGATCACAAGTGAAGCTCTTCACTGTTCATCGAAAATGAAATACAAGGAATACATAAAAAATATTTATGAGAAAAAGAGGCCCATCTTATAGAACATATTCATCAACTCAGAGCAGAAAAGGTGACCTAGCAGAAAATCTCTTACCCTAGGGTCCCGAAGGAAGTTACAGGGGACTGGCTGGAAGGCAAAGCTATCATCTTAAGAGGATAGGAAGAGAGAGATAGACAGTCTACTGCAGACAACGAAGAGCGAAGCTCTGTGATGGGGCGGCTTGTCAGGAGTGGAGAGAAAATTCTACAATAATCTAAACACTAAAAAGAATATATTAGCTTTAGGAAATATAAAATTGAAAGCAAAAAATCGAAAGCAAGGCAAAAAAAAAACAAAATAAAATAAAAAACTTCAAGGGCTTCTCCTCTCAAGAATGAACATATCAGAACATGCCCCACCTCCGGTTGCTGATGATCACAAAAATGCCCACATAAGAAAACTTTCGAAATGAGTGTTTTCAGCAGGTTCTCCTTGTGTGGCATAGAAGGCCACCTCCTGTTGATCCGATTTCCTGTGTGTAGACAGGAAGGCCTGATTGACAGCCAAGCAGAAACCAACCTCTTGCTGACTACAGTGTGTCTTTACTTAGAGATAGTATATGAAAAGTGAAAGGTAAAATGTAGGTGTTTTTGTAATACCAATAACAATGTTTTTCACGTACCAATAAAAAATATTCTGAGATTTTTCCTATCTTACTGTTTGTTGCAATAAAATTAGAAAGAAGTATCGGATATCAGAAAAGCAATACAAGGTCATTCTAAAGCAATTTAGAACACAACCAAGAGTAATGAATGTTACATGTTTATAGAAAGCATGCTGGATCCCTTAAAAAAGTATTTCACTTTTGGTTTTATTTTCTGATTCTTTGCATATGTACAGGAGCCCTAGTGGCCTAGTGGTTATGCAGTGGGCTGCTAATCTAAAGGTCAGCAGTTCAAAACCACTAGCCACTCCATGGGAGAAAGATGAGGCTTTCAACTCCTGTAAAAGGTTATAATCGTGGAAACCTACAGGGGCAGTTCTACCCTGTTTTAGAGGGTCACTCTGTGTCAGAATCAACTCAATAGGATTGTGGTCGGTTTGGGGGTTTTTTGGTTTGTTTGTTTTGCATGTGTCTAATTGTGATTTCTATTTATCCAGGTAGTTTGCTGCCACAATTTCAATACAGAGTGACTATGAATATTAGATCAGAGCATGTTGGTGCCTTCCTCTCCTTCACATGCCTCCCTTCGTCCTGATCTCGCCTAGCACACCGCTGCATCTTTGGAAACTCAGGTGAAGTGGACTCTGGGCATAGTCCTCCGCAGCCTGCTCGTCCCTCGCAGGGTCTCAGGCTTTCTCTCCACTTTTCTGTTCCACTCCAGACAGATCACCGACTTTGTCACTGTATGGAAATTGTCCATGACTCTCCCTTGTACAGAACAGCAGCTTCCGCACCAGGGGAACTGCGCACCATCTACTTCAGTATTTCCATGTAGCCAAGGTTCTGGCAATATATAGCTGATGAATGAAAAACCCGAGTGCTTTAAATATTTCTTACAAGTCCTTGCGTTAAACTATTAATATTGCCATTGGAACTACCCTTTGTAGCTTGTTGCCATCAACTTCACTCTGCCTCATGGCGGCCCCATCTGTGCGGAGCAGAAGTGCGGCACAGGGTTTTCCAGGAGGCAATCTTCCAGAAATAGATCTAGCCAGGCCTGTCTCTTGAAGGGCCTTCCTCTCAGTGGTTTCAGACTACAACCCTTTTAGCTAGTATGTGCTGCCCAGGGACTCAGAGCCTGCAAACTGCTTGCAAGTGGCTCATAAAAAAACACATCTATGTATGTGTGCAAGCCCAACCCACTGCCATCAAGAGGCGTCTGGTGGCAACCCTACAGGACAGAGCAGAACTGCCTCATAGGGATTTTAAGGTTTTTCATCTTTACTGAAGCAGAAGCTGGTGGGTTCCCACTGCCGAGCTTAGCTAGCAGCCCAATACTGAGTGTATATGTACGTATACCATAGTCTTTTACTTCATGTTTTCCACAATGTTTTGAAGGCCCTTCTTATATGCTAATTGCTGTCTAGTTGGTTCTAACTCAGGGCAACTGCAAGCGTGTCAGAGCAGAGCCACACTCCCTAGGGGACTCAGGGATCTGAGCTTTCCAAAGCAGAATGACTGATGTCCCCACCCTCCTGCCCCCCCCAGGACTTTCTGGGTGGGTGTGAACCACCAGTCATCCAGTGCTTCATCTTTTCCAATCGACTTCCAGCAGCAGCCTAGTGCTTCATGGTTTGCACCAGTGAAGGGCTCCTTTGATATTCAGAGATAGAGATCTACAAATGAAGAGAGGGATGGAGAGAAGCTAAATGCTAGAAAGCAACTAAGTTATGTGAAGAGCTGTCAAGCTAGTCTTCATTTCTGTAGGCTTGGAATTCTTCCAAAGAGCCCTAAGGAGGCAACGAAGACGAAGAACACTCATTGCGCTTCACACGCGGGTGTAAAATTACCAATGCACCAGAGTTTGGTTCCAAGGAGTCACCGGGTGGTGCAACAGTCAGGATGCTCAGCAGCTACCTGGAAGGTCACGGTGGCTGCAAGACCAGCCAGAGATGCCCTGGAAGAAAGGCTTGGTGATCTCCTTCCAAAAAAAAAAAAGAGCCATCAGGGACCCAGTCCGACTCTGCCATATATGAGGTCACCATGAGTCAGAAATGACACGTTGACAACTTATTTTCTAAAAGCTCCCCAACCACATGCATTATCCACTGAGTTTTTTCCATACTCCTAACAATTGGAGTCTCAGGATAGCACTTGGTAACTAGCCCAAAGCTTGTTGGTTCGAATCCACCCAGGGGTGTCTCAAGAGAAAGGGCTGACAATGAACTTCTGAAAGGTTGCCCCACTGAACAGCCTATGTGCCCTTCGACTCTCAAGCACGTGTGGTTGCCACGAGTCACAGTGGGCTGGGCAGTAACTGGTGGTTGGGAGGGGGGTGGTGGGACAGTTAGCTTTCCTGTTTTGCAATGGAGAAAAGGTGAGGATGGGGTCAAGAGTGCGGAGACTGGAAGTTGAAGAGCAGGTACGTAACAGTTAGCACTAAGAGATTTTCAGATTCTAAATCCAAATGTTTTCCCACAGCATCAATCTGTCTCATTAGATGAACTTTACATACGTATCTTAAGGGGTTATTGTTTGATCAGCAGCATATACAAAATTGATGCAACAGTTTGTGCAATGATAGGATTTCGTGAAGGGACTCGCTGGTTTCTGATGGGGCCTTCTTGACATCCCATCGAAGGTCAGTGAAAGGAACAAAACTTTGAATACTTTTTTAAAACGGATTTTAAAGTCTTCCTGATACTACATTGCTAATGTTGTCGCTGCAGATATTTAAATAGGAATATGGTTATACAGCTAAATTATAAATGAGGATATAGTATATGATAACTTACTCGTTCGTGCCCTACCATGTATGGATCGTCTTCTGCCATTCTGGAGCTGTGAATTAAAACAAAAAACTGTAAGCCTGGAATTAACCTGAAATATTCTCTTCATCATCCCGTTTCATGCAGGCGTAAACCACTGTTCTGGCAAACTGTACACAACCCTTTTTAAAGACTTTTAGAGCTGGGCATTTGCAGTTCCTCCGTGCTATCTAACTAACAGTATGGATACTGCATAACCGAAAAATTACCACTTACACAGAACCCTGAAACCCTCATATCAGGCTCAGAATAGTGTCTTAAGAGTTTGCTACAACTCCTCTCCCTCTTCTGGATAAAGATCACATACATGTGGGTTTTCTGAAAGCTGTTTCTTTTTATCACTCTCTAAGGTTCAAGAAGATACAATCTCAGCTCTGGGTGTTTTTTCACTCCCTCGTCAAACTAAGTGACAGTCGTAGAAATGGCTCTGTTTTCTACAACAAGCCATTGAAGTTGAGACCCTAAGAAAGGGTCACACTTTACTGTAAAACGAGCCTACTAACACTTTCTTTGTTAGTAGTAGCAACCCTACGGACACTTTGCCAGGAGAGGGCTGCTCACATCTTCTAGTACATTTCCACGGAAGCAAGCCATTTCCTGCCACTTGTCTGAAATTGATCAAACATACAATCAAGATGCATCGATAATTTCTGGTGACTGGAATATGAAAGGCAGAAACTAAGAAGGATCAGTAGTTGACAATAAGGCCTTGGTGATAGAAATGATGCTGGAGATTGCATGATAGGATTGTGCAAGACTAACTACTTATTCATTGGCAAAACCTTTTTTCAACAATATAACTGACCGTATTATAAGAGGACCTCACCAGATGGAATAAACAAGAATCAGATGGAGCATACCTATGGAGAAGTGCAATGTCCTTAGAACAGGGACAAGGGTCAAAGGCATTAGAGACCATCAATTAATCACAGGAAGACTACCAGAGCAAAACAAAAGCTCTAACAATGACAAATGTTAGTAACATTCCACGTGAAAAATCCCTACCTTTGGGATACCCAAGGAGCTCAACCTTCAAGAAAAATATTATGATGCTTTTAATTTGGCTTAGTCTCACTGAGCACCTTAGCACCTCAATCTGCTCAAACAATTTTCCTTCAAGGTTTCAGTAACGGAGGTTGAAACTGTTCATGAGTTGCGGTTTCAGAACCTGGTCAGTGCCTCTAGTGTATTGATTATAAATCTAGTTTTCCATTTGTGGACAGCTTTCAAGACCCCCAAAAGTTTAGAATTAATATAAAGCAGCCCTCACTCTAATTTTAAAAACTCAAGTAAGTTTGCTTTATCAGAAGGGTTGCATTGTCAGTTATCATGATTACTATAGTACTTAAAACCTTAGATCACTAAACTGTAGGCACTTGACCAAGCATCACATTAAACAACATCTCCAGCATCCACACACGATTTATGCATTCATCTTTGCCCCAAATCAGTTTCAAAAGCCCTACGAGCATCAAGAGCAGCCTCGAGGGCACCTACAATGATGATGGAAATCTGAACTGCTAAAAGAGTTTGCAGCCAGTTAAACCCACGGGAAGAGCAGAGGTAGCAGAAACCCTAGAGTGATGTCGATGTTAATTTGCCACTAAAAAATAAAGCATCAAAATAAACCTAGAATCATTTGGGAAGGATGAATCTCTGCATAATATATGCACTGGTTGTAAGGCAAGTTTTCATTCTGAAATCTGAACTATCAACAAAACTTTTGGAACTGAAGCATCAGGAAAGACCAGGGAAACCCCCTACTACTCCCCCAACCCGCCCGCCCTTCCCTCTGCTAGTCCTGTGCTTTTAAGGATCTTGAAACACAAAGGGAGATACTCAGTTGACTCCACAGGAGAAACGTCGAAGCTTGGCATCTCTCTTCTCAGTTGCAAGGTTTTCGGGGAGATTTTCATACCACAGAGGAGAACTAGGAAATGTAGCTGGTTAACCCAAACAAAACCAGCTGTCATCAGGGTAATTCTGACCCATGGTCACTCCATGTGAATTGGAGTAGATGTACTCTTTGCATGCTTTCCAATGGATGATTTTTCAGAAACAGACACTCAGGCCATTCTTCGGAGGTGCTTCTGGGTATGTGTGAACAACCACCCTTTTGGTTAGCAGTTGAATACTCAGCAGTCTGTGCCACCCAGGGCCCTTGTCACGTGGGAGTTGTCACGGCTGTTAGTTGCCACAAAGTTGATGCTCATTCAGGGCAAACCCATGGGTGCAGTGTAGAACTGGGCTCCACAGGGTTTTCAAAGCGGTGACCTTTCAGAAGTAAACAACCAGGTCTGTATCCCAAGGTGCCTCTGGGTGGATTCAAACAGCCAACCTTTTGGTTAGTATTCAAATGCTTAGCCATCCAAAGAGTTTTTTAGTTAGACAATGATGACTTTCCTAATGAGTTGTTCTATTTTTTTTCACATGAAAAAAATGTTAAAGCTAGCTTAGTTCTGAACAGGTAGTGAGTTCTTCCTGCAGTGCTGAACAGGTGTGGCAATCCTGCTACCAGCACCATCATCCAGCACTCAGCCTTTTCAGCAAGGCAGCAAGACAGAGTGAATGAACTTGAAGGCCCCACAGGCAGACCATTAAGGATGGAGTGGGGTTATTCGTCCACTTATAATAGGGGCGCCTTTATAGGACCAGATATAGTCAATCTCCTTAACAAACCCAGACCATATATATGTGCACACACATTGAACCACAATGCAAGCTTACCTCATATATATTCTCTCTACTCTATTACATTTCACTCTTAAAAATGCTTGGGAAATCAATCATGATCTACTGATGGGTCACATGTACACTTTGAGAAACAGAGTTTTTAGGTGACTGCTGGGAATCAGATCAAATGCTTCTATTTTCAAGATTATATTCAGACACACAGATGCCATTTAAGTGTAAATTAATATCCAATCTTCAAGAGCAATGACACTACAAGGAAAAAAGATCCCTTTTTACCACTTCTCTTCTAGGTAATAAATTAAGAAAGGAAGGATCTTGCTGAAGAAGTGTGATAGGGGTTTATGAACACATGTGTTGCCATACTGTGAAACAACCACTGTGAGAGTAAGTGTCCTTTGACTCTGCCATTGGAATTTGTCCTGAAGAAGTATTTGAATGAGTGTTCAAAAATTAAGTGCAAGGATAGTCACTGAAGAAAAAAAGGAGAAAGAAAACAGACTCGTAAACAAACCAAGTGACCTTTGAAAACAGATTGTTTAATTATAATTATGTTTTATTCATACAGTTAAATATCATGCAACTACTAAAATAAGATATAAATACTAGGAAGGAAAGTTTTGTTCATTAAATTATACATTTCCATAATGTCTTACTTATCGAATTCAATTATATAATTGGAAATATAGATTTTTTTAATAAAAAAAATTAATTTAAAACCTAAAATTTAACTCAGACATCTTTAACAATGGCTGACATGCAATGAATAAAAACATGATGCATGGATTGTAAGTATTAATGGAACTTTTATCAAAACTAATTAATAGAAACAGTGTACTTGTAAAGACAGTGTGTATTTTGTTCTTTCTGATGATATACTGGTATAAGAATGATAAAAGAAAATTTAAAGGTAGGCTTGTATATTTCCCTTAGAACAGATGTTGACTTAGAGTTTTGGGAACATAATTAATATTTGTGTCCAGCCAGCCACATTGAGATTTTTCTAACTCATTTTCTTTATCCAGCTGGACAACTTATTTGCACTGCCAACCGCCCCCGGAGACATCGGGCAATGAATGTTTGAAGGTATTTTGGGCTGTCAGCGCTGGGAGGGTCTTCCTAGCATCTCCTGGGTGGAGGGAGACCAGGTATGAGGCTAAACAACCTGGACTGGGCCCCAAAGGTCCACAGCGTCACGGCTGAGCAACCCTGCCAAAGGCCATCACACCAAATGACAGCATTCGGGTCATATGCTTTGGTTGATCCTAAGAAGGAACTAAACTTTACTGGGCACCCCGTCACAGTCAGAATCTACAGCTACTGCCTCTCACTGTTTCACTTCATCCTCAAAGCAAACCTGAGAAGTCAGCGTTCCTGTCACAGGCGAGAAAACGGAAGTTTAGAGGGCGAACTGTCGTGCTGGCCAATCGGAACCCACAGTCTCCGGTTCCTTCAAAGGCAGATGTGATTGCCTTTCTTCGGGAAACACGGTTTGGTTCCCAGTCTTCTAAGCGCCCACATAGGAGGCAGTCTACTCATAGCACAGTTCAAAGAGATGAAAAGGATCCTGTGCCCCAAACGCCAATGAATCCTTCCCAAGGCAAAATAACTTTGTAAAATTACCAAACAACTCGAGTGGTAATTGCTTTTGAAAACCATTTCCTCAGGTCAATTGTGAAGGACAGATGATATTCCCAGCACATTTCTCCAGGAAGCACTACATCAGCTGCTAGGGTGACAAAAGCATCTACCTGTTTCAAACAACAGAGCATTGAAGTGCTCCGTGAATGTTTTCCTGTCTTCAGTACATTTCAGTCCTGTATTCTTTACAAGTTCAATCTGCTAGGCGTCAGTTCCAGTTTACATGTTGGGTTGCTACCCAGATGAGGCTTCCTGAGTTTGGGAAGCTTTATGGCCTCAGAAACCCATGAGGGCAGTTCTACTCTGACATACGGAGTCCCTTTGAGTCAGAATTAATGTGATGGCAATTAATTTTTTATGTCTCAGTTCCAAGGACATCAAAGGGCACAAGGGTAATGCCACACCCATCCTCAGAGATTTTACAATTGTGGTGGACTGAAAACCTACTGCCCTTGAATTCTCATTGATTCCAGCTCATGGCGACTCTACTGGACAGTGCAGAACTGCCCCGGAGGGTTTCCAAGGCTGCAGTCTTTTCAGAAACAGATTACACAGATGGATGAAAACAACAATCGCCATTCTACCCAATAAAAGACAGAAGAGAGAGAGAGAGAATCTGCTTCTTTAATCTTTTCGATCTATGCTGGCCAGAGGCCTGATTTGATGGACAGAATGACAAAACGAGAAAGAAGGGATGTTGAACAAGTTCTATACCTCGGCTTCCTGCTCACTTGGAATACTGCAGCCATGTGAACTACTCTGTCAAATGAAGGACCAGAGACCTTATGAAGCAGAGAAGATGAAGTGCTTTCTGTGGCTGCCCTACCCCACCAAGCAGCCTCAAGAATTCAGAGACCATTTGAGCTAGCCCAGACCATAACAACCTAAACGACCCATAGAATCATGAGAAATGATGAATATTTGTGTTTTAACTAGCTTTGTTGTTATTATTAGTAGTATTATGTTCAGCATTACCCAGATAACACAACAATTGCAGAAACAGAAGGACAAATACACAAAAACACTGCTATGTGATCAGTGTCATGGAAGTGAAGGGCATTGTAGAGTGGGGTATTTCCTATAAATCAATATGCATACCTGCCCTAAAGGTAAAGATACATCAACCCCCAAACGACTTTGCTGTACCCAAACTCCAAGCTCACTGGCACCAAGTCAAGTCCAAGTCACAGTGAACCTGAAGGACAGGGCAGAAATGCCGTGACTGTAACTGGAGTGGAACGCCTCTTTTCTTTCTCCTGAGGAGCAGCTGGTGGTTTTAAATTGCTGGCCTTGAAGTGAGTAGCCCAATGCTCAACAACCACTGTGTTGTGCAGAGAAATAAAACCAGGACTGTAAGAACCCTCCAAAAGCAGAAATTAAGATACTGCTGCTAGTGTTAAGCAATAACACCAATGTCGGACAAGTTCATAATGTTTTTAATTCCTTCGTGCCTCTAACACTTAAGGCAAATTCAACCTTCCTTTGCAGTGCGCTCGGTTCTTGATGTCCCACTCTGCCGACCACTCTTTCAGCTACTCAGGGTCAAAAGCACGGTCACGCTTCTTGTTTGTTTACCTTTTCCTCTCCCTCTTTTCACACAAAGCAAGTCAATGCCTGCCGATTTCTCCCTCTGTGCTGTTTGAGGCACCTGCTCTTCATTTCCATTACAGAAAGTGCAGTACAGGCTGTGTCATCTCACCCTGGAATGACAACAGGAGCCTCCTCAGCAGTGTCTCTCACTGCTCTGCTTTTCCTCCCTGTATTAGTCTGGGTACTTTGGAGAAACAAATCCACAGCAACTCACGTATAAGAGAGAGTTTTATGTAAAGAAAACGTGCACCAAGAAAACATCCCAACCCAATGCTGCCCAAGCCCACAAGTCCAACATTAACCCGTTAACCCAACACCAGTCCACAAAGTCCTCCACCTCACAAAACAGAGGCAATGATGCCGACTGCAGGAGGAAAGCTGAGTCAGTGAACGAACAAGCATCTCAGCACTAGCAGGGGTCTCCACACGGCTGCTCCAGCACCCAGGGCTGCATCGGGAGAGGTCCATGTAGCTTCTCCTTGGGGCTGTCTTGTAGGAAGTCAATCTTGCAAGCTGAAGCAGGGAACTGCTAAGGCAGCTGCACCCGGTGCAACCATCACAAAACAAGAGACCCGAGAACTAGAAAGGTGAGGCTCACCACCCATTTATCCCTCCGCCTTTCAATTAGCCCCACATGTGATTATTGGCCAGGCTGGCACAATGAACTAACTCACTCCCTAAGTACCTTTCCCACTCGACCCACTTGCTTTGTTAAAATTATGACATGTCAAACCCTTCAAAGTAGACCCCAAACTCTAGTCTTTGGCTTCCTTAAATAAGTCAAAGATCTCAACCACTTGTCCTTAGCATCTTATAATTATTACTATATCCTAATAAAAATCTTCTACTCTAGACAGTTGATCATTCAAGTATGCCTTGCTCATTTCACCTTGTACATCATTCACAGTGGGGCCCGAATGCAGAAATTTCATTCTCCTACCTACTGGCCGCTCCAGAAGAACCTCTCTATCTCACTTCTGCCAAGAAACCTTTTATTTTCCTTTTCTGACCTCGTAGCCTACGTAAGGTGTTTGTAAATGTGCACTTGGCAGCCTACTTTGGAGGATCCTTGGTGGTGCAGTGATGAAGTGCTCAGCTGCTAGCAGAGGGTCAGCGGTCTGAATCACCAGTTGCTATGCAGGAGAAAGATGGGGCAGTCTGCTTTATAAAGATTTACAGCCTCGGCAACATGATGCAGCAGTTCTAGTCTGTCTTATATCACTGCTATGAGTAGTAGTTGATTTAATACCAATGGTTTGGTTTTCGTTTTTCAAACATGATCGATTATAGACTGGATTGTGTACCCCCCCCCCAAATATGTAGTAAATTTTAACCTCTATGCCTGTGGTTAAATCCCACTTGGGCATAGGTTTTCTTTATCACGATAATGAGGCAGTGAGATGATAAGGTATGTCTTGAGTCCATCTATTTTGAGATATGAAAAGAACAGATACAGTGAGGACATGGGGATGTACAGTTGGGGTCGTATAGATGCAAAACCCCATGAAAATCACCACGGAGGAAAGGTGGAGAAGCTGAAGAGACAGGGACCTTTCTCCAGAGTTGAGAGAGAGAGAGAGAGAGAGAGAGAGAGCCAGCCAGAGCCTCCCCTAGAACTGGCACCCTGGTTTCAGACTTCTATTTTGTGTGTGTGTGGGGGGGAAACTTCATTAAAGTCACCTACTTAGGGTATCCCTGCTGCATTAGCACCAAATAGTTAAGACACCTTCCTACTGCAGTTTAGCGATATCTCTATATTCACCATCTTCTTAAATATATCTAAGTATCTTAAGATTAGAGATGGAAATTTTGTTTTGGTGTTTTGCCAAATTGGTAAATACTGAGAACTTTTAAAATGATGATTGCATTAATTGTAAGCTACAGGCCAAGTTAAGATTTATTTTACGTGGCCTTGTAGTTTTGGTCATGCCTGGGTAAGTTTTTAAAGGTGCCCCCCTGCCATAATCAACTGGAAAACTATATAAAATACTAGCAGCAATAGTTTATGACACAGACAAAAACTAGCAGAGGCTGCCCAATTTAAGAGTCTGGAAACAGATAAGGAGAGTTTCACATTCACTCTTGCTTTCTGACTGAGGTCACTTTCTGAATTCTGACACTGGAGAGCAGCATTCTCCCAGGGCTGTGCACCAGCATGAAAGAAATTACCCACAGAGAGCTTCCAAGTTGTGCGTGGCAACTCGCTGTAGGGATTGTCCAAACTGTGAGCTCGATCCTGACGAACAGGGCTCTGCCTGGCCTATGGGACAGGGCGCTTGAGGTTCTGAGAGCTGAATCGAGATTCCAGAGTGGACGCAGTGCAGAGTGATAATGCGTCAGGCTGGACAGACGTCACTAAACATTTAACTGTGACCCTAGAAGACCATGTATTAGGAGGAAGGGCCACACGAGTACAAAGGTTACTTTAAGCCTTTTTTAGTACGATCAAACAATTCACTGGTAAATTAATTACAACAAAAGTCACCACTCTTTAGAGAAAGACAAACATCCAAACTCACCACTCTTTAGAGAAAGACAAACATCCAAACTCTCTCAAAGGTGGTATCCATGAGTTCCAGCATACAATGATATACAATAATAAAATGACTCCATATATAAACGCAGTTAGAACCGTAGTGCATGCTCAGGCAGGGCATATCAGTAGAAGAGTGCGGAAAAAGAACCGACTGGAATCTTAAAATTGAAATGAAAGCCCCACCGTGAACTTATCAGCAGAATGTTCACTGTAGAAGGAAGGAGAAGCGCACTGGAATAAAGGCCAATACATCTTCAGAGCAAAGCACAGAGCAAAACCAGGAGGAAAAAATCAAGACAGTTCAGAGAGCGAGGGGACAGCATCAAGAGGTGTGCAGATGTGCCATTTAGAGTTCCCAAAGAGGAGCGGGGTACATGAATGCTGGAAGAAATAATGGCTACACATTTTCCGAATGTGTTACTAACAATTCAACTCATAGGTTCACAAATCTCAAAAAATCCCTTGTAAAAAACAATAACAACAATAAACCAAGCCTCCATCGTTTTGGGATATTATAGCCAAACTGCTATAAATTAATGCCGAATAAAAAAATTCTAAAAAGGGACACAAAACATATGAGGCAATAATGATAAATACAATTGACTTCTCAGAAGCATACCAGCCAGCAGCTAAGGTAAAGAGACCTTTCAAGCATAGGGGAAGAAAAGCAGCCTAGAACTCTAAATAGCCAGTGAACATATCTTTTAATAATAAAGGTGAAACCACATTAAAAATAGCTGAAAGAAGCACTGACTACAAATCTCTACTAAAAGGCATACCAACAAAAAAAAAAGTTTCTCAACCTGAAGGAAAATTATTTTAGATCAGTGGCTCTTAACCTTCCTAATTCCTTTCATACAGTTCCTCATGTGGTGGTGACCCCCAACCATAAAATTATTTTCGGTGTACTTCATCACTGTAATTTTGCTACTGTTATGAATCGGGCGACCCCTGTGAAAGGGCCGTTTAACCCCCAAAGCAGTCGCGACCCACAGGTTGAGAACTGCTGTTTTAGATAGAAACCTGGAACTCTATGTAAAAATGAAAACCAATGAAACTGTTAAATAAGTGTTAAGTATAAGACTGTGTTCTCATTTGTTACCTTCTTAAATAGACAGTTGGCGGCTCAAAAAGAAACAATATCAATATATTTGGGGATTTATAATATATGCAGAAGTAAAATATGTAACAGTAACAATACAGAGGAAGAGAAGAGGACAAATTACATTGTACTGTTGCAAAGTTCTTATCTGTGATTTCGTGGTAGATTCAAGCAAACACTGTAAACTCTAAAAAAAACACTTTAAAAAGAAAAATTAAAGAGACAAAATGGAATTGTAAAATTTACAGAGGATAGCAGAAAAGGGAAACACGAGTTAACTGATTAAACAAATGAGCAAGACGGCAAGCTTAAACCCAGTCCTAGAAGTAATTCCACGAAATGCAAAAGAATAAACCACCCACCCAGTTAAGTAGAGACAGTCCAATGAGACAAAAAAGCAAGTGTCTGCTTTTTATAAGTGATAGACTTTCATTGTAAAACACACACACATTCTCGCTCACTGTCCTCTAGTCGATCCCAACTCACAGTAACCCTGTGGGGCAGGGAGGAACTGCCCCTATAACTTTGAAACTTTTACTCTTTATGAATGTAGAAAGCCCCAACTTTCTGCTGCTAGCAGCTGGCAGGTTTGAACTGCTGATCTTGTGGTTAGCAGCCCAACACATGGAGACACAGACAGTTCAAGTATACAAATAGAGAGTTCTACCACAGTGATCACAAAAAAGCAAACACCAAACTCACTTCCCTGGAGTCAATGCCAACTCACAGAGACCTCATAAGGACAGAATAAAACTGTCCCTGTGAGTTTCCTAGACTGTAACACTACAGGAGAATATAGCCCCATCTTTCTCCCGGTGGTTTCAACTGCTGACTCTGGGGACTGCAGTCCAGTGCATCACCACTATGCCACAGGAGTCCTTTAGCACAGCAAAATGTAGACTGTGCTAAAACAGCAGATAAAGTGGACATTGAGAAAAGGAATATTACCTGGTAATAACATAACAATAAAATAATATATTGATTAAGGAGAAATAATAATAAAAAACATGTTT